AAAAAGCCCATAATCTTTTTCCTCAATGAGCTATTATATCAGTAGAAAAAAACAAAATTAGCTTTTTCCATATTCTTACAACATACTTCTGACACCAGATATGTGGGACTTTTTTCCCCATACATGAAGCAAGCAATCAGGTATGCAGCAGACACCAGTTGATTCGCCTCCAGTTCGGTTCTGACTCTGTCTACCTGGAGTTGGCGTCAGATCCCACAGGCTAAGGACTCAGTCCCACAAGACCACCCCCCACTTTCAGTGCCAATTGCAAGCCACATGTTGTTCTACCAGTGCTTTGACTGAATGACTGTAAATTGGAGTTCCCACAACCCCTTTCCTTGGGTTTAATACACTAGAGCAGCTCACAGAACTCAAGGAAACACTAATATTTACCACTTTATTATAAAGAATATTACAAAGGATAAGTTGAAAAGATGCATAGGTCAAGACCTGTGAGAAGACGCGCAGAGCTTCCATGCCTTCTCTAGGTGCACCACCCTCCAGGAAACTCTACGTATTCAGCTCTCCGGGTTTTGATGGAGGCCTCATTACTGAGGCATGATTGACTAAATCACTGGCCACTGATGATCAACTAAATCTTCAGCCCCTCTCCCCTTCCTGGAGGTTAGGTGGTAGGGCTAAAAAGTCCTGTATTACTCCATTTTCACACTGCTGATAAAGATGAGACTGGCAATTTACAAAAGAAAGAGGTTTAATGGACTTACAGTTTCACATGGCTGGGGAGGCTTTACAATCATGGTGGAAGGCAAGGAGGAGCAAATGATGTCTTACATGGATGACAGCAGGCAAAGAGAGAGACTGTGCAGAGAAACTCCCATTTTTAAAACCATCAGATCTCATGAGAGCTACTGACAATCTGGACAACAGCCCGGGAAAGACCTGTCCCCGAGATTCACTCATCTTCCACCAGGTCCCTCCCACAACACATGGGAATTACAGGAGCTACAAGCAGGTCTGACATGCCAAGTGAATTTTTTATTTTTAATTTTTGTAGAGGCAGGTTCTCCCTATGTTGTCCAGGCTTGTCTTGAACTCTTTGGCTCAAGTGATCCTCCCATCTTGGCCTCCCAAAGTGCTGGGATTATAGGCTAGAGCCACCGTACCAGCCAAGAAGAACTTGTATAAACTATAAAATACATCTATAAAGGAAAATATTAATCAGTTTGACCAGATAAAATTAAAAATATCTACATGATATTTATACAGATATGTATAAACATACATATATAATATGTGTACAATATATTAAATGTATGTATATTATATATGCATATATATGTGTATTTTAAAATATATATATACATGTATATGCATATATGAATATGTACATAGACATATATAGACATATATAATGTATGTAATATGTAAATTATAGTATATAATTATAGACTATAATTTAGATATATGTAATTTTATATATTTATAATTATATATTTGTATATAGTATATCTACATACATATATGTATATACATATGTACATGTGTGAAGATGTATCAGGAAATATTAGTCTCCAAAATAATAAACAACCACAAATGAAAATGCAGTGGATATGAAAAACATGAATAACCTAAGAAAACTGAGCCTACCATGTGAAGAGGTGCTGTTTAAATAGAAACTTGAATGGCCAGTCACGCATAAGAAAATGCATATCCTGGTAATAAGGGGAGTGCAAATTAAAGTGAGATACTATTCTTACTTATCAGATGTAATATACAAAAATTTAAAGGTTTGATGATATCAAGTGTAAGCAAGGGTATGAAGAAATGTGAACTGAAACACTGCTGGTGGAAGGGTAAATTGGTATAACCTCTTTGTGAGAAATTTGAGAGTACCTAGAAAAATACAGAATATATAAATAGCTTATGATCCAGCATTTCTAAGACCCTTAAGTATTTACAGGGAAGTTCTCTATATGTGTGGATAACACGTGTACAGGAATTTTATTGTAGCTTTAATAAAAAATTGGAGGCTGGGCGCGGTGGCTCAAGCCTGTAATCCCAGCACTTTGGGAGACCGAGGCGGGTGGATCACGAGGTCAAGAGATCCAGACCATCCTGGTCAACAAGGTGAAACCCCGTCTCTACTAAAAATACAAAAAACATTAGCTGGGCATGGTGGCGCGTGCCTGTAATCCCAGCTACTCAGGAGGCTGAGGCAGGAGAATTGCCTGAACCCGGGAGGCGGAGGTTGCGGTGAGCCGAGATCGCACCATTGCACTCCAGCCTGGGTAACAAGAGCGAAACTCCGTCTCAAAAAAAAAAAAAAAAAAAAAAAAAATTGGAAGCAACTTAAGTATTCACAAGAAGAGAATTAGATGAATGAAGTTATTCATTCATTCTATAAGTATTTATTGAGAACTTACTATGTGCCAGGCACTGGGGTTACTACTAAAAGTATGAAACACAATCTTTACTCTCAAGAAACTTACAGTCAAACAGATGAGAGAAATTAAATAATTATAAAAATAATCCCATTATGATATTGATGATGAAGCATAAGTACAGGCTATTGAGAAACTGTAAAGGTAGAACAAATCAGAAGGGATATTATTGAATGCACATAAGGAGAAAGCCCATTGTAACCTCCACCTCCCGGGGTCAAGCGATTCTCCTGCCTCACCCTCCCGAGTAGCTGGGACTACAGGCGCGTGCCACCATGCCTGGCTAATTTTTTTTTTGTATTTTTAGTAGAGACGGGTTTTCACCGTGTTAACCAGGATGGTCTCGATCTCCTGACGTCGTGATTGTGAAAAACGCGCACTTTGAATATTGTTCACACAAAGCACTTCCAAACAGGCTTTGTGTGAACAACATGGCTATTTATTCACCTGGGTGCAAGTAGGCTAAGGCCGAAAAGGGCATTAGCAAAGGGCAGTGGGATAGGAGTTGGTTTTATAGGTTTGGGTAGTTTTTTTGGGGGGAGGGGGAGTGTTGCAGTGTAAGTTTAGTTACAGTGGTTGGGGGTAGGGGCAAGGAGTATTCAAGTTCAGTTACAGTGGCAGGGTTGGGGTGAGAGGTATTTACATTATCATAAGAACAGTTAAGATGGCAGGGTTGGGTGAGGGGCTTGTGGGAAGCTCAGCTGGGCAATTAGGGACAATGGCGAACGCAGGCAGCAGGTGGGAGACTTCAGCAACGCAAGCAGGACTTCAGGCTTTCAGGCTCCAGCTTGCGTATGGAGACCTGCCTGCCTCAGCCGCCCAAAGTGCTGGGATTACAGGTGTGAACCACTGTGCCCAGCCTATTTTTAATTTTATAGTTAAATTTTTTATATTTAATTTTTGTGGGTACACAGTATATATTTTGGGGGGTACATGGGATATTTTGTTATAGGCATGCAATGTGTAATAATCACATTATGGAAAATGGGACATCCATCCCCTCATTTATCCTTTGTGTTACAGATAATCCAATTATACTACGAGTAATTTTTTTTTTTCTTAGGTATAGATACCCCAGGTCTCTTTCTAACCAGGTTTTCATTAGAATACCTTAATGAAATGCTCTAAACACTAACATCTCTTTCAATCTTAGAACATGCATAACATTATAATTTTTTTTAATAGTGTAACCTGTGAGCTGTAATGTACTGATAGTGTAATGAAATGTCAAGAGCTAAAATTGACGTTTTCAGCGTTTGTTTGCACACATCAAATTCTTGTGAATTGTAAATGTATGGGACTATTACTATTATAATTATATCGTAGTAAAAGTAAAGGATCTATGACATTCCTGATAGTTAGAAAAAAGTTGAAAGTCATTTCACTTCAGCTTTTTATGTGCCATTTATTTGGATGCTAAGTTCTTTAAAAAAATTATCTTATTTGTATGTATGTATCCAATTTTGTTATAAACTAAAGCATTAATGTTAGGGACAAGGAAGCCCCCTCTGTGCAGGCTGACCCCTTGCCCCGCCTCTGAGTGCTCTGCAGCTGCATTCCTAAACCCCTACCTAGGCGCCACATCAAGGCTGCCAGGCGCACTGCAACTAAGCAAAGCCTGATTACAGCCATCCGGGCAGCTCGGGGAGGACAAGAAAAACATGTTGGTTATCCATACTTGTAAATTCCTGTTTAACACATGTCTGTAAAAACAAACTCCTGGTTTCTCTCTTTTTTAAAAAGACTGCCGCCAGAAAAGTCACAGGATAATGTATTGTAGGTCTGTTACAAGTTAACAAACTATCTCTGTGCCTGTTACCAGTGGATAGATTACGCCCCTCTCACCCAATATAAACCCCTCATTTTGTAGCTCAGGGCTGCCTCCTCTGACTGTTACAAAGCAGCCTGGCAGGTTAATAAAACTTTCTGTCTCTCGGCTACCCTTACAATTAATATGTCATATAAGTATAGCATGTTCTGATAAATTTACTCCATTTAAAATCATATATAAATCTGAAATCGTTACAAAGGATTTTTTTTTGGATATTAACATGCTTCTGTATTTTATAGGCCAGATGCTTACAGTTGAAACATATTTGCCTAATGTTATTAATTGGATTGTTAATTCTATATCAATTCCAACTTGGTATGACATTTATAAAAGCATAGTTTCTTCCCTTCAAGATATTCTCTACTGTGGGGGACAGCAAACTTTGTCTGTGAAGTGACAAATATTTTAGGCTTCACAGGTCTTATAAAGGTTTCTGCTGGCCATCTTTCCTCTCCCTCCAGTCCCTTAAAACTGCCAAAACCATTTTTAGCTTGCAGATGGTACAAAAACAGGCCACAGGTTGTATTTGGCTTATGGGGATAGTTTGCCAATCTTTCTTCTACGCTAACACATAGGAACATGAATAATAAGGCATTTTAAATGAAAGAATTACATATAAAGATATAGTTAAATAAAATCATATTTCCACAATTTGCATAATCACCATTTACAGATATTGTTATTGTGATTTTTTTCACATCATATACACCATTAAGAATGTTATACTCAAGAATATATATATATATATATATATGTATATATATATATTTTAAATGGCCCAAACATGGGAGGACTTTATTGTTCTAATTATGTTTAATTTCTCTAAATTCTGGGCAGGTCTCAGCACATAAGCCACATGACTTTTTGTCCAAGGCCATGTCCACCCTGGAGTTGCTTTATGACAGCATCCACAGCCACCTTGACAGGTCGATGTCACTTCTGTGCCTGCTCAGTTGTCTGTTGATCAAAAAGACCAGCACATTATTGGTGGGCTTCTTGTGTTTGAAGAATTTGTCAGACTTCTTGATATTCAGTGCGGGCTCGTTGGGACTGGCTTTAGGGAGTTCTTTACCCATGACACAGCGGCTCCAAACAACCTCAGGAAGACAGCTCAACTAAGAAAGCAGGATCACAAGGTCACACAACAGTCTGTCTGCAAGCTGAGAGCAAGGAGAGTCAGTCTGAGTCCCAAAACTGAAGAACTAGAAGTCTGATGATGTTCGAGGGCAGGAAGCATCCAGCACAGGAGAAAGATGTAGACTGGGAGGCCAGGCCCTTTTCAGCCTTTCACGTTTCCCTGCCTGCTTTATATTTGCTGGCAGCTGATTAGATTCTGCCCACCACATTAAGGGTGGGTCTACCTTCCCCAGCCCACTTACTCAAATGCTAATCAATCTCCTTTGGTAACACCCTGCAGGGACACCCAGGATTAACGCCCTGCATCCTTCAATCCAATCATGTTGACACTTAGTATTAACCATCACAAGTCCACCCCTTGTCAACTTGAACCCATACACATCTCCTGAGATCACACATAATCTTCACATAAAGACAATCATAAGGTCATAATTATGTCTAACATAATACAACTATTCTTCATATACCTGGAAACGAACCAATCCCCAACCCAAATGCCATCACACAAAGTTAGCAATACTTAAATGCTGATATAAAGTCAATAAATCTTATGTCACATGATAAAGGACAAGGAAATCAAATGAAGATATTTTCTCAGTACAAGTGTATACCTGCACAAACATGTTTTTAACAAAAGAAAGAGGAAATAATCATGACAATTACAGTCCTTGTTTCTGCAGCTGGTCAGGTGGTCATAGCTGATATCGATGACTACCTTCCACTACCCATTCTGTATTCCCTTTGCCATCAGCAAGCACATCTGCAGGTCGTGGTTTTTTTCCTGGTTCTTCGTGACCACCCAAGAATCAGTTACAGTATCCTCTTATGTACTCCCAAAGTATTCTGTGCATATGGTTATCAAAGAATTGCTGGTTTACTTGTCTACTTCCCTCACCACCCCTCCTTCCCTATCAACTGTTACTTCCTGGATTGCAAGACGTATTTTCTCATTCACAGGTGTATCACCAGGCCCTAGCATAAACCCTGGCACACAGTAGCACTTAAAAAATATTTACTTGACTGGTCACAGTGGCTCACACCTGTAATTCCAACACTTTGGGAGGCCGAGGCGGGTGGATCACCTGAGGTGCAGGAGTTCGAGACTGGCCTGGCCAGTCTAGAAACCTTCATTCCTGAACGGTCTGGGTCATTTGTAGTCCTGCCTGGATTGGCTGTTGTAGTTTCCCATTGGCCTTAATCACAGGGCATGTAGTACTAAGAGATGCCCTAAGGGGTCTCCTATATTCCATGCGTTCCTTTTCTCTTTTTGATACAGGGTCTTGCTATGTCACCCAGGCTGGAGTGTAGTGGCACGATCTCAGCTCGCTGCAGTCTTGACCCCCTGGGCTCAAGTGATTCTCCCACCGCAGCCTCCCCAATAGCCGGGACTACAGGCATGCACCACTATGCCCAACTAATTTTTGTATTTTTAGTATAGATGGGGTTTTTCCATGTTACCCAGGCTGGTCTCAAACTCCTAGACTCAAGCAGTTCACCCACCTCAGCCTCCTAAAGTGCTGAAATTATATGTGTGAGCCACAATGTCCAACCATGAATAATTTTTTTTTTTTTTTTTGACAGAGTCTTACTCTGTCACCCAGGCTGGAGTGCAGTGGCATGATCTCGGCTCACTGAAACATCTGCCTCCTGGGTTCAAGTGATTCTCCTGCCTCAGCCTCCCAAGTAGCTGGGATTACAGGTGCCCACAACCACACCTGGCTAATTTTTGTATTTTTAGTAGTAGATACAGCGTTTCCCCATGTTGGCCAGGCCAGTCTCGAACTCCTGCACCTCAGATGATCCATCCGCCTCGGCCTCCCAAAGTGTTGGAATTACAGGCGTGAGCCACTGTGACCAGTCAAGTAAGTATTTTTTTAAGTGCTACTGTGTGCCAGGGTTTATGCTAGGGCCTGGTGATACACCTGTGAATGAGAAAATACGTCTTGCAATCCAGGAAGTAACAGTTGATAGGGAAGGAGGGGTGGTGAGGGAAGTAGACAAGTAAACCAGCAATTCTTTGATAAACATATGCACAGAATACTTTGGGAGTACATAAGAGGATACTGTAACTGATTCTTGGGTGGTCACGAAGAACTTCCAAGAAGAGATGCCCTGAATCCTGACAAGTAGAGACTAGCTAACCAGGGAAACTAGTGAGATTTGAGAATGGACATTCTGGGCAGAGCAAACCACAGGTCCAGATGCACTTAGGTACAAGAACTTGGCTTATTCTGTGAAACTGCAAATAGTTCTGCATGACTGGAGCTTGGAATACAAGGTAGGGAGCAATTAGAAAGTAAGACTAGAGAGATAAGGCAGAGCCCAGTTTATGAAGGGTTTGGCATGCCGGGCTGAGGAATATAAAATACACACTGAAGGAAATGGCATGGGAGTGGAGGGTCCCAGGGAATAGTATAATCACATTTGAATTTGACAATGATTAATCTGAATTTAAGGAAGAAAATAGGTTGAAGGGAAGTTAAAAGTGGGGGCACGAAGACCAATCAGAAGGCTGTTGCATTAATGTAAGAGTATTAATCTATAGATTTGGTTACTGTAACAGAAACTCAAATAGCAATGATTTGCATAAGATAAAACTTCTTTCCTCACCTAACAGGCTGAGCATAAGCAATCCAGGGCCGATATAGCAGTTCAAGTGAGCCACCATGCCCAGCCCCTGTTAGGCAGAATTTAGACACATGAACATTGCCTAGTTGCAAAGATAGCTAGGAAATGTAGATTTTATTTTGTGAGGCCATGTGCCCAGTGTTTAAAAAGGGATTTATTACTGTAGACAAAGGTGCCAAACATGATACCCATGTTTCTGACTTGGGTATCTGGAGGGATGTTGCACGCGAATAACACTTACTGAGTAAGAGCACAGAAGAGGAAGAAGAGCTTCAGGGAATAAGTGAAGAACATAATTCAGTTTTGCACAAGCTGAGTTTAAAGTGTATGCAAGACAGGCCAGTCATCGTGGCTCACGCCTGTAATCCCAGCACTCTGCAAGGCCAAGAGGGGTGGATCACTGGAGGTCAGGAGTTCGAGACCAGCCTGGACAATATGTTGAAACCCCGTCTCTACTAGAAATATAAAAATTAGCTGGGGATGGTGACGCATGCCTGTAATTCCAGCTACTCAGGAGGCTGAGGCAGAAGAATTGCTTGAATCTGGGAGGCAGAGGTTGCGGTGAGCCGTGATCGCACCACTGCACTCCAGCCTGACCATCAGAGCTCTGTCCAAAACCAAAAATAAATACAATAAAGTGTATGCAAGACATTCAGACAGAAATGTCCAATAGATTCACTTTAGAATCATCAGCATGTACAGGGAAATTTAGAGTGTAAGAGCAGATGTCACTTAATGTGTGAGAGAAGACAGAATGTGTCAACTGAGAAAAAGAAGAAAAGGCTGAGGGGAGAAACCAGATTTTTCAAGACAAACGTAGAGAAGGGGTCCCAACGAGGGGGATAGGTAGAAAGGACAATGGAATTAGGAAAATGTGAAGATATGTCATAGAAGCCAAGGTAAGAGAGCTTTTCAAGAAGGAGCAATAAACATATTCGGGGCCAGGCACAGTGGTTCACGCCTGTAATCCCAGCGTTTTAGGAGGCCAACGTGTGTGGATCACCTGAGGTCAGCCTGGTGAACATGGTGAAACCCCACCTCCATTAGAAATACAAAAATTAGTCTGGCGTGGTGGCAGGTGCCTGTAGTCCCAGTTACTCGGGTGGCTGAGGCAGGAGAATCGCTTGAACCCAGGAGGTGGAAGTTGCGGTGAGCCAAGATCACGCCACTGCACTCCAGCCTGGGTGACACAGTGAAACTCCGTCTCGAAAAACAAAGGCCAGGTGTGGTGGCTCATGCCTACAATCCCAGCACTTTGGGAGGCCGAGATGGGTGGATCATGAGGTCGAGAGATTGAGACCATCCTGGTCAACATGGTGAAACCCCGTCTCTACTAAAAATACAAAAATTAGCTGGGCATGGTGGCGCACGCCTGTAGTCCCAGCTACTCTGGAGGCTGAGGCAGGAGAATTGCTTGAACCCAAGAGGCGGAGGTTGCGCCGAGATCGCGCCATTGCACTCCAGCCTGGGTAACAAGAGCGGAACTCCGTCAAAACAAACAAATAAAAAACGCCTTCAGGAGCACTGTGAAAGATATTTCCAGAAAAACAAAATGGTGCAAAAACTAGAGATTTCTGATGGTAAGATGATTTAGCCACTTGCTAGAGTCAAGGAAACTAAATGAGGGCAATAATGCCACCTATTTTATTGATTGTTGAAAGGATAAAATTGAATAATTCAGGGTCTTAACACATAATAAATGCTCAATGAAGATTGGCTATTTCTGCTGCTTTTTTTTTTAATGACTATGATTGTTTTAAAATCTGTTTAAGCACTACCTATGCTTCACTTCCTGTCCCCTATATCTTCTTCCTGCTGCTTTGTCTTTTTTTTTTTTTTCCCAGAGAGAAGAAGTAGCTATGTTGCCCAGGCTGGATCCGAACTCCTGGACGCAAGGGATCCTTCCACCTCAGCCTCCCATGTAGCAGGGACTACATCTGCACACCACTGTACCCAGCTCCCTTCTTCATGTCTTACTTGTCCTTATTATCACAGTAAATAATGCCTGATCTATTAAGAGCCATGTGAAAAACCTAAACTCTTTCCATTGGCAACCCTTTTGGCATGGTCAAGTCAGTGGTTCTGGCTATCATACAAACTCACATATAATCAAATCAGCTATTACAAATTCAGATTGGCTAAGCAGATTCCAGTCATTTTAAAAGCTTGTCTCTTCTGTATCCTGTATCTTTCTGCATTTAGATGTAACTTCACTGTGGGTGTCCTTACAGTATATATTTTTTTTATGAGACATCAAACTTACTAAGAATACTTTATAGCATGGTATTTAGGAACTTAGGGGTCAGAATTAAGACATTCTTACAATGTCACCTTGAAAATTTTGTTTAACTTC